ATCCTCCTAATATAATAGGCACCTCCTAGCTCGTGAGCCAGACTACAGATTTAATGTCGCCAAGAGGTAGTTCTCTTATATCGGCCGGTGTTATCCGATACTCGCCGAACACAAATCTTCTAATAAATGAAAGCGTCGAGCAATCGTTAAAGATATGCTTGATGGTCTCATCTTCTTGCTCGCACCCTCTGCAGGGTGCGGATTCTGACAGCCCCATGATATGGAGATGCTTCCGTACTTGGCAATGACCAGTCAGAATGCCTGTGACTAGGCGCAGATTCTGTCTAGTCATATTCAAGTTTGTTTGCTGCAGTGTTGTCAGGATAACTTAAGAGCTCCCTGGCAACTCTGCAGTTTCTTGTTTCATCCCATCTTTCCTTAAATTTCACAAGGGAATATTCTTTAATTAGGTCTGTCACTACCGATTTTGTCAGGCCAGTAGAAGGGCCAGGTCCAAAAAGTATTTGGTTGGCTGCTTTCTTGTTACCTAAAAGTGCATTTCTCTAGGAAATCTCGGCGGAAAAAGACAGAACAACATTATTATTATTGTTACTGAAATAAATAATGATGGTGCTGCTATAGTATATTGTGTCACAAGGGCAGAAAATAAGCTTTAGCAACCCACGGCTATTAGCTGCTGAAGCGTTTTCTTCATGTGTGACATATAATTGTTTTTTGCCTACCAAAAAAGAACAAAGAAAAGGAAAATATAACAAAAATCTTTAATTTTCATTGTTGGCTTCCTCTTGCAAGTTTGGTATTTGTAAATTCTTCGTCACTGTCTGAATGAATATTCATGTTCACTAATAGACTTACACTGACGTTTAATCAAAATTTATGTGAAACGTTAAAGTACGCAAGTGACAGTCAAAGGTATCTAGATATCTAGTGAAAAACTACAAAATCGGGCTGTATGAGTTTAGCAGCCCATGGGACGATATACGTTACTTTCGGTCATATTTTTAGGGTTGATATGATTAATTTTCACATATGGTAGGCGAAAAAATGCTTTTACAATGTAGAACGTGAGTTCTATTCTCTATATTTCCATGTCCATGCTAATATTGTTAAAGGTACCCACACCAAATACATTCATTTTGGGTCTCTGTCGATTTTAAAAATTTGAATACACTAATGCATAGGTCAAAATAGGCAACTTTGTGATGAACACCAACTTTTTATCTATACAAGATGAAGTTATTTAAAGAATATAAATAAACGTTCGTTTCTATACATAAATGTATATTTATTTTAACTTTTCTACTACAAAAGCAAAACACCTGTGACAAAAAATAAGCAGGCTTCATCTTTTGAATGGATTGGAATTAGTGAATATATATTTCAAGCTTTTATCAGGGTCTATAGTTTTCATATAATACGGATACGTCTCTGAACAAGAACTTTCATAAGTATTAAAATAACCGAAAGTATCCTAACTTATATATTTTCATTATAATAAAAAGTAGGCTGTTGTCAAATAGTGAAAGTGATTTTATTCAGGTTTTTGTTAAAAGCAAGTTTTATATGCAATTTATATGAATGATGCAAATAATTAAGTAGCAAGGAGAACATGTTAAAGAAAACTAAAAGATGAGCAGATCAGATGTTTTAAAGAAAAACTCGCAAGAAGAGAGATGGCGGTCAATGGATGAATAGGTTTTTCAGATTATCTCTGGGATATTAGGAATATTAAGGCGTTTGGAATTTACCAAGTAAAGTCACCTACAAATAGTTTTAATCGCGAAACAAATAATAGTCTTTAGACCCTCTATTACTTTTGACCCTCCATATCACCTCTGTCTCCATTCTTCTTCGTTTTCGACTTTTAGTCTCCAGAGGCCTATTTAACGTCTCCCCAACCATCGAACATGGATCAAAATAACTCGATGGAATGTAGTTTGACAAGTCCATTCCTAAGGCCGTAGCCATATATCTTTTACTGTAAATCCAGTACCAACTTTTAAAACCCAAAAATTTTTATTGAAATTAATTAAATATTGGTAGATCCTATATACTATTGAACGTGTGCTTATGAAGCTAGTCTGTTTAAAATGGGCAAATCAGTTATTATTACAATAGTTGTTGTAATTTCTCTCACGTTAATATTCATTTATATTGGTAAAAAGTCAATCAGCGGTGTTGTATTAGGTAATTTGGTGCCCAATACAGAGCTTGTGCTACATCTTACATACCTATTTTCATACTTTTAATTTTTTACCATCTACTTCATATCAGTTAACATTCTATTCATTAATTTTTGTTATGGAATATCGTTTGTTTAATCTAATTGACATAAAAACTAATGTTAGTTTCTTTGGCTACCAAAATAGTATAAATGAAATACAGGTTAGAAAAAAGTATACGAGCCATGCGGTGTGCTAATATTCATAACACGTAATCGTAATCGAATTGGAAATGATAACCTACGCTGATGCAGGTTTGAAAATACGATAGGTGTTCTTACAATTTTTTTTTAAATACTGTTCTTGATTTACACTAAAGAGGAAAAGCTACATATTTTAAAATGGTCCTTTGGGGTTATGAAAATCGGCCAGTTTCACACAATTCGACAATAATTCTTCTATTATTAAAAACTTTAAGAGACTTGGATATTTACAATATTGTTGAAATGTCATGATGACTAATAATTTATATACATAACCGTTATTTGAAGAATTATAAATTATTTGTCACTTGCAAATAATTCTTAGTTTTATAATCAGGAAAATCTTGGTAAATATTGATTTATTTATTTAGAGGGAACAACAACCAACCGCAAGTTATGCATTACTAAATATTAGCTTGTTTTAAGATTAATAATTGATAAAAGTTAATAATATCGAGCGCAGTATAGGTGGTAGGTATGTAGATGTATCGTGTATCAGCACAGTTTCATCTGAAGTAATCAATCATTTGAGAGAATTTTTCTTCATTTTCGGTACTCCCTTCTATATCCACTCTAACAATGGTACATCTTTTATTTCTCATGAACTCAAATCATACTTAGATGCTCAAGGTATTGTCACTAGCAGATCTACTCCTTACAATCATCAAGGCAATGGACAAGTGGAACGGTATAATGGCATTATCTGGAAAACCATTAACCTTGCACTCCGGTCAAATGATTGAAAATTAGACAATGGGAGAGTACTACCAGAAGCGCTTCATTCAATTTACTCATTACTATGCACTGCCACCAATGTAACTCCCCATGAGAGAATATTCAACCACCCCCGACGTTCTTACAGTGATTAACATTACCTGGACCTGTTCTACTTCGTAAATTTAATAGGACCAATAAATATGAGCCCTTAGTCGAAAAGGTAGATCTCATTGAAGCAAACCCACCCTATTCTCGAGTTCAACTCCCCGACGGTAAAGAAACTACCATATAGCTTAGTCATCTGGCCCTTTCATCTGCACTAAATTCTGAGTATCCTTAGTTCTTCACAACTACATGAAAAAAATTATTCCTCTTCCAGTCAGTCCTTAACATTCTTCACAATTACAAAATAATATAGATTAAGAGAACGAAGATAAAAATGAGGAGCATATTGCTGAAACTCAACAGAATTGTGAGACTCATCAGATAAATCCTGAGTTGAGAAGAGCAATGCGATTAAGAAAAGCCCCGACCTTTCTAGATGATTATGTAAGATTTTAAAGGTGGGAATAATGTAGTGATAATCAGTGAATGTACTTAGATACTTAATGAGTTGGTTAATTAGTTATTATATGTCAAATTGTTATATTTATTTCATTGTCAATGTCACTTTCTGATTATTAAGAAAGGTTTCGTATTTTATTGCAGAAATACTCAAAAGTATCCCTTGTTGGAGATTTCAACTTTACAAAACTATGCTGCTAAAATAAATCTGAGATACGGTCTTGGATGATTTATTTAAGTACTACAAGTATATGTAATATCTCCTCTGTGTATTATATGCATTATAAACACAATATATAAAACTGTTATTCACTAATTTGGTTCCTATATTTATAGATTATTGTAATAAAACTGTGTTGTTGTTGTTGTTTTATTGTTTTTTTTTTTAAGTTAATTATACTGTTCATACATCCTAGAAACTGACAAAATATATTTTTTATTTCTGATATAAATATACATTTCATGTTTTTCTGAAGTCCAATGGGTCCTTGTTTTCTTCTATAACATTATTTGTAACTACTTTTTACTAAAAAGTTCCTGTAGAAAACCCTTTTTTCTACAGGTTCTTTTAGGAAAGCCTTTGACTTTGTTTGTTTTTTGTTGTATTTAATGCTTGTAAGAAACCATGTCGTCTGCTTTTAAATGTAGAGTGGACAGAGTTGCAATTAATTTAATAATAGTGAATGATATTTTTAGAATAATACTCGAAAATCTTACCATAAGCCTTTAAATTCAGTTTAGGCTCGGTTGCTTTATTACTTTACTTTTGGCAGGCAACAGCAACACTACGGCGAGCTACAGGCTTGCCAACATTGCAAAATATTTCGGGATATAAACAAAATGTGAACCGAATTCAGCTCTTAGGCCGTACCATAATCCAAAATGTTTAAAATAAACTATTCACACAGTAATATTTCTCTTTATAATTCAAATAAAAAGTAATTAATTTGAAATTTTATGGAAATCATTACATGATATTTCCTTGCTGTTTTGTAGCTTGCCTTTCAAAAAATCACACTACCGATATTATAAAAACTCTAATACCAGAACAAAGTTCAAAAATATAAACATAAACATCACTAAATAACAATAAAATATTAGAATTTTTAATAAATAATGTTTGACAGCAAGTAAAACATTTTCTGTCAACTCACTTTATTATTCCGTGACATCACTGCGTCCTTAGCAACCGTGATGAGGCCACCGTATTGTCTACGAACCGTGGTCAAAATTCTCTGGCAGCCATTTTGTTTGAAATTCCTAATATACCAATCATATATCAAATATCACATGACAATCGATCTTTACTAAAAGACTTATTAATAATTTGCAGATTCGTCCAAGACATGGAAAGTGACGGGGGCGAAATAGATTTAAATAATGGCATGGACGAGACGTCGAATCAAGAGCCAAACAACAACAGCATATACCAAGAAAATCTAGAAGCCCGTTCAGATAATTCAGTGAATTCACGTTAAGTAATACGACCAGCGTAATTATCTGATTTAAGTCAGTTAGATTGCTTGTTTGAATCAAACTACGATGTCTAGTTAGGATTTAAATGTTAATCAAATGCAGGAGCGGATTTAGAAGATCAAATGTACGGTAAATGTGTTAATAAGAATTTACAATCTCAATCACGAAAACAAAACTGAGGATTCAAGATCGCCTAAATCCGCCCCTTATTAGATCAAGGAGATAAAAGGAGGCTTAATATTTACCATTAGTCATTGGTGTGCAGGAGGTTTGTATCTAAGCTACACGAATTTTGTTTTCTGTATAATTACCTATCGGTATAATATAACCGACATATCTTTGGTGCAATTAGAATATGTCATATTTTCAACAAATTTACGACAGCGATTCAATTAGTATTATAACAGCAAATTATTTAGTATCATAAATTTCCTATAATATAATAATAATTGCGCAATGTAAGCATTTGTTTAATTAATTTAATTAAATCAAATACCTTAAATTATCCACAGTTAATGCAATAGTATTGTCCTAAACAAATTACTATTTTGGCCTCACAGCAGTTTAACACGTTGCCGGCTAAAGGCAGTTATCAAATTTGTCATATATTTTAAAATATTGTCAATTTTAATAATCTAGAATTATCCTAATTATCTCAAAATGATTATCCATTCTATAAATTAAACAAAATGATGCAAAAAAATAATACCAACATTACCAATTAGTAAAAGAGAAATACTGTAATAATTTATAGCTATGTCTGCTTATTAGGCTTCATCAATCTTTAAACTCTTAAGATAATTAATTTGAGTAACTGACACATTGTTTCAGTTATGGGATATAAATGAAATATCCAAATCATCATCGTCATAATAGGCTCGCTCACATTGTCAACTGCTTGAACTGCTGGACATAAGCCTCTCTCAAATTTTGCAATTTTTTTTTTCACAGTTAGTGACATTTTCTTTGTAATCACTGCAACTACTAAGCGTCCGTCCTCTATTTCTGAAAAACTTTTTGGTCCATATTTGGTGTTCAATTATAGTGAAATGGCCCGCGATGGGGCCCAGCATGACTGCTTTGGATTTTATGAGTTTGCTTTCCCAACTTATACCTTGTATTACAATAACTAATAGTTTTATAATGTCTGTGGGAAATCAGATTGGTCACAAACTGGGTATTTGAGATATCTAGTTGCAAATCATATTTTCCTGTCGCATATTATGTAACATTCCTAACATTTGCTGAGACTCTTGCATATACTTTATAGTTGGAGTAGCGAATCCTTACATATGCGTCATTAATATATGATAATTTAAAACAGGTAATCTTTATGTACCATCCATTTTCTATTTTCTTTAGCATCATTTTCTGATCTCTTTTATAAGCAGATACTTATGACTGATGGCCGATTGGAGACTTCATGTTACTTTATTGCAGTAGGTAGTTAAATCTGTCACGTCACAGTTGTTTGTGATCTTGGTTTTCAGTTTAGTTCCTAGTAATTGTGTTTTGCAGCCGGAAGCATTGTACAAATAGTTTTATTTTTAATAATCAATTGGTATTTTAAAGTTGATAATAAATACATAAAAATAATACAGCTTTACAGGCCTTAAAGACCCCTGGCTTTAATTTTCTTTCATTTGATTCAGATTCTTTGCTATTTCTTTCGAATCGATTGTTCGTATTTCATTTACACCCTGTTTGTCCTCTTGTAACCATTTTCCGTTTAGGCGTCTTTCTCTCTTCCCACCTCCTCCTCTATATCTAGTATTATTTTACCATTCTCTGTACTGGAAATCAAGTAATCTGCCCTAACTATGTCGGTCTTTGTGTTTTAACTTTTTGTATTATTTTTCGTTTTTTGAATAAATCTATTACCTCTGTACACCTTCTCCGGATACCTTCTACGGTTCTGCCAATTTTTTTTAAGAATGTTATCTTTTTTGTCATTATCTATGTTTGCAATGCATATAGAACTAATGTTCTTACAATTGTTTCATACGCTTTAATTTTGACTGCTCTTAGCAGGTTTTTTGTTTTTAATATTTTTATTTGATTAGAGCAATTAATTCTGTCACGTCACAGTCGTTCTTGGTTGTCAGTTTAGTTTCTGGTAGGTTTAATATATTTTAAAGTCTTATATTATACAAATAATTTTTTTTAGAAATAGTATATTAAATTTTACAACAAATACATATTTTTAAAGTGAAAAAAATAATAGTTCTTTTGTCCTTACAAAGATATGTACTTTATTGCGAAGAAATAGTCTCGATGCTTATAACGACCCTTCCAATCCTATCTTCTCAAGAAAGTATAGGATTCGGAGAAGCTTTAAGTTAGTTAGATTGTAGATTGCCCTCTTATATTTGGTATCCTTTTAAACATAGTGCCTTTGGAGTGCTACACATTCAATCATAATTTGAATATAGGTTTTGTTATCCTCCTCACATTAACGGCCATCATTATCTTCTACTATTCTCTTCTACTATTCTCTTCTACTATTCTCTTCTACTATTCTCTTCTACTATTCTCTTCTACTATTCTCTTCTACTATTCTCTTCTACTATTCTCTTCTACTATTCTCTTCTACTATTCTCTTCTACTATTCTCTTCTACTATTCTCTTCTACTATTCTCTTCTACTATTCTCTTCTACTATTCTCTTCTACTATTCTCTTCTACTATTCTCTTCTACTATTCTCTTCTACTATTCTCTTCTACTATTATCTTCTACTATTCTCTTCTGCTATTCTCTTCTACTATTCTCTTCTACTATTCTTTTCTACTATTATCTTCTACTACTCTCTTCTACTATTCTCTTCTACTATTCTCTTCTACTATTCTCTTCTACTATTCTCTTCTACTATTCTCTTCTACTATTGTCTTTTACTATTCTCTTCTACTATTCTCTTCTAAGTGAATTTGTTCCTGGAAGATGCTTGGGTATTTATCCAAACTTTCAGTGTGCCTGCTTCTAGGCCCATACACTCCCATTCCAGTTCCATTAAATTGAATACCTTTTGATTGCAAACACAAAACATTCTTGGCTCTATTCTATCTACCAAATCAGTTTTAAGGTTTTAAAGTTTTTCACAAAACGGTACTTTTTTTTCTTATTTTGTCCTGGGGCATATGCCAAGTATCTTCGGTCATGGAGATAATAGAATTACATCTGATTACTACGTTCTCTAACATTAAATATAGAGGGATAAGGTTTAGGATCACCTCAATTGAGGCCGTAGGACAGATCCTCATTGCACCGGTGAATATATAACAAAATCATGAGGAACATTTAAGTAAATATAATTACATATTGTCTACGTTTAACTGTTAATTGTTAATATAATACTTGTGATGTATTTATATTTACTCAAAATGTTTTTCATAATTTTGTTATATATTTAATAGTGTGCTCTCTGGTTTTCTTTAGAGGAAAGAAAATGTTGTGTGTCAGAAGATAAAGTGAATTTTTAACTTTGAAACCGGTCGCAATAAAATACATACGTTGTGAGAAAAATATAAAATATAAATACATATTTTATTTACAATAAAAATCCTGACTCCCAATATTCCATATTGGTACTGGCTGCTGTTCAATATGTGCATACTTACCAGCAACTAGAATTTTGATGGAAATATTGTTACACTAGTTCTTGGTAAACGCAATTAACATTAACATACAACAGCTTTAAACTGAACTCCCTTGATTTTCTCGAAAGTTCCAGATGTTTACAGACACAGAATAGAAACAGATATTTCTAGAGTGTTCTCTCTTCTTCTTTTACTCGTAATTTTACTTATAACAACCGCAGCACACTCTAGGGTGTTGGGTGACATTAGACATTATTCGCACATTTACATATAACAGCCACCAGCCGTAGATTACTGCAGACTGCAGGGTTACAATATGTTTTATTATATAAATTCATTATAGTATGAATTTTATATATATGACGCACTGGTAAAGATTTGCTATTCCAACTTAACTATAACCTATTACGTTTTTAGTCATTATCGCGTCTGCAAATAAGAACTGGTTTGTTTTTTTTTTTGTTTATGCCAATATATACGGGATCAAACGTCTTTTAGACATTTACATATATCTTTAGAAGTGATATATCCTCTTGAGGAATATATAATTTTCATAAGATGAAGCATGTGTTTTTTAATCTAGCAATTTGTCTATCAGAACTCCGTGCTGTGCTTTTACATAATTTCACATCACTAATTTAATTGGTTTGGTCCTTTTGAATCTTGTTGCTAGGTATTGGTTGCCCAGGATCTATATAACTTCAATATTTACGTAGTCATGCAGCCTTTTTTGTTTTTCTTGTGTAAAGTCTTTCCTCTCCGAGGTGCGTTTGCTATTGCCATTTTGTATGCCGTAAGCCCATACTGGCTTCAGTATTTATATATTAACAAGTTGACAAGTTCTTTGTGGAAAACTTTATTGTCACATAAATCTCAATTTGTTTTTATGTAATACTTCCAACTGACCAATTACAATCAAAATAATACCAAATATATTGTACTTATCATCTTTAATAAATGTTTGTTTTGTGTAGTATTATGATAGCCAAACATCTGCACGGGCTTTCTTTAAGATTACGTCTAAAGCAATTATGTGATTTTTTATGCTTCCATGTATTTTGTGTCAAATAGTTATTTTATTGTAAATAAGTAGTTCAAGATTTTCGTATATATACCAATCGAAACCATTAAGTAGATGTTGTTAGTGGTAATGGAAAAAGAGATTTTACTTGAATTTTTTTACAACCCCAAAACTACAGGGTAGTAAGTGTATTTATAATTTTACCTAGGTACTTTATTTTCTAAGTAGGTAAGCTTTCGCTTTCGACAGCTTCTTTTTTGACATTCCAAAAGCTTATCTCATTTTCTATTACCATTTTACCCTACTACATTTATATATAAGTACATTACTTTATAATCTTAATGAAATATTTATTGTATTCCTAAAGTGTGTATTTTTTATATAAGTTTATAGTTATAAAGAGATTATATAAATGTTTTTTGTATAATTATAAAAAAAATGTATAAAAAATATAAAGATATATAATATTGTGGAGAAAGTTACCGAAAGAAAGGGTATTTTAATTACTCTAATATTCCATATATGCTCAAGAAGATGTTAGAAAGTAAAATTTTTATAGAAGTGTTCTTATATCACATTAATTACCTTCAAAACAGTAAAAGTTATAATAAGTACTTAAAGTACTTACTTGAAGATTATAAAGGAATTGAAGAGTCAATATAATAAAGCTTCAAAATTGATTGAAACTATATAATAACTGAAACATAAGAACTATTTTGTAAAAATTTTACTATAGTCAAAATGCCGTGTACGTTTAAGACTGTTTTTCTCAATAGAAATAGAAAGTAAATATCAACCTAGTAACAAATACCTATATACAAAGATTGACAGTAATCAAGAAAATACGGTATTTGCAGAATTCAGTGCACCTATGCAGGATGCCCCGCTAAGATCAGACATCGAAAACAATTTCTTTATTTCTGGTGCTGTTTGGGAATAATCACCTGTAACATCCTGTATAATATCAGTGACTAAAAGAACCAAGAAAATAGTATTAGGAATAAGAATAAATCAGTTAAAACTAGATATGTATGTTATAAAAATGTTTAAGTCCAATTCACAAAAACGTTTTTAAAATTACCCACCTATAAATATTTAAAAATATAAACATTTGGCGATATTTCAGGAATTGTTACTTAATTATTTAATTTTGGTAATCTGTCATTCCTTATATGTTTTTCCATAGATTTCATAAAGATTTTCCAAAAAAAATATATTAACGAATATTTTATTTGTTAATGTTATGAAGAAACGTAACCTAATTTATTTGAATTTTTCCAATCACAATAACGATTCAGTGGTAATTAAAAGATAGCGATATCGTCCAACTCTACTTTTTCTTTTAGTTGACGTTTTTATTTTTGTTAATTTAGAGGTAGGTAAATATTTAAAGATTATTTGTGAATTAGGTTATTTTACTTATAAAAAGAGTTTATAATAGTATTTATATCAAATGTTATTGGGTATTATTGGAAAATACAAACTGAACATTCCAATGTTTATGGTTTATGACTTCAGAAACTATTGAGTTATAAAAATCGCTTTTAAATTTATTTGGTTTTTTTGATTGACTAAAATTCTTGTACAATGTATTTAAACTGATTTTACATGATTTAGAGGCACAATTGTGACTTGTATTAGAAAAATAATATTCACTTTTCATAATTCGGTTAATTTTAGAATTACGAGAACACTAGGTGATTATTTAGCACAAAATTTAAAATTACCACACTGTACTTATATATATTTTCAAAATATGAAAATACCACTTATTATATTTCTAGTCATTTTTTTAGGAAATATTGTTAAACAACTGAAATTAGTTTTGTCATAGATAGGTATACAATTTACATTTTAAACACAAAACCGTTAAGTCCAGTTTAGTCCAGTAGATTCTATCAAAAGGCCTTTTCAAAATTTCAAGCTACATTTTATTTAATGTAGTAATTACAACACAGTTTTGGTTCAGTGCTCGATTGAAATTATTTTTGATTCTTCTTTTAGTACTGAGAAAAAATAAGCTTGCATTCATCCTACTACATCATTCTCTAGAAAATAATTTATATTTTTAAATAAATATATTAACCATATTTAATTCTTAACTTGTTTACCCATATCATATATGGGTAAGTAAGTAAAATATTTTTAGATTATTTTATTTTTTGAATCCCTAGCTATAATTTATCAGTTTTATTTTTTAAGGACATGGAGTGCTTATAAGACGTGTAAAACTCATTAGTAGTGATGAAAAAATAACACTTTTAACAATTATTTCTATTTTTTTCTAGATAATTCTATTTATTTTCTGAAAATATTACTGCTCCTCTATAATATATTAGTGATGAAGTAAATTTGTAAAGTTTTTTATAGACTAAATATCTTTTTCTTACGTCCTGCAACATACATATATATAAAAAAAATAAAAACAAAGGGTTTACGACAAAAACAATGACAGAATGGGTTGTTACTGTTATAATAATTCAACGTATTTCTAAATACACCAAATTAATGTAATGTAATTTCTGTTTTCATTAAGGGTCTACTTATACTCCCTTATTATTAGTATTTGCATTAGTATTATGATTAAGGATTAAGTTGAACCTTCACAATGTAATGGGGACATTTATACTCGATTTAGGATTATTATTAGCATTAATATTAATGCTTAATAATTGACAGGTTCAACTTTTATGTTACATTTCTTCTTTTCTATCAAATGAACCAATGACATATTTGACCTTTGTTTTTAATAGATAACGGATAATGACAATTGACAATACACATATGATTATGTTGTCAGATATTGTTTATAGGTTTGTTCCAACAAGTTCGAAAACGATAATATTTCGGTACAAATCATGCGCTGTATACAATTTTTGTGTATCAGCAGTGTTTACAGATTATAAAGTCGACAAATGACATGTCACCAAATTTCTGCTTCTTTTTATCTGTTATAAATTTGAGACGTAAATACGTTAAATTGTCTT